GCCAGTGCTCTGCTAAGTTCAACCCAGGAAGAGGGCGAAGAAGCTGAGGCTGAGTCTTCCCAATCCTCCTGCCCTGCGTATGATGAGCTTTTGGAAGTTATGGATCGCGCCACGGCGAGGCGTGTCTTGCCGTGGAAGCGGGCAAAGACAGTGACGTCGCGAGGTCGTCTCGATGAACGTTATCTTTCGCTCAGCGGCCTTCAAATCCTTCATTCCACGAAGGTCCAGGTCTGAGCCCTAACAACCCAGGGGTCCTGGCCCGTCTCGGTTCGAGGATCAGAGATGGGCACAGAAGGCTAATGTCACGGCTCGCACTCCTCCCCTGCCTGCGGGTAGGGGTAGGAGGAATCGCGGGTCAAAGGGAGCGGGAGCCTTCTTGATCATCAGGCCCCCGGCACGGCACTGCAAAACATTTCCTGGACGTCCGGGCTGGGCTTATGCTTTCAGGTTGCCCTGTCTGGTATATTGTGTTTAGCAGTGCTCCGCTTTTATCAGAGGGTTACCTATGAGCACGCTACTCCTTTCTTAATTCAGAGTTCTCCTCTCACGTGAGAGACCTGGCAGATATCGGGAAGAAAGAGAGGGGCTTTCTTCTCGATGCTCCGTTTCGCCTTCCGAACTTTTTTGGTACCTCCGTTGAGACGGTGGTACCCCTCTCGTTGAGAGCTGGGTGTTGTGCTCCCTCAGCTAAGGTAACTTACTGCTAGCCTTTCCAGCATTGAAACATGCTGTAGGTCGAGCCCCCTTCTCGAATGAGAACTGGGTGTTTGCTCCCTCAGCTAGAGATTTACTGCTAGTCACTCCAGCATTATACCTTAGATCGAGTTGATGACTTCTCAAATTATAGTGTTTTGGGATGCACCATTTCCATCTATGGGCTGCTCTTTCAGAGTGCCACAAGGGCCCCTTAGAACAGTATTTTTAAATCCATGTTATGGTAAGTGTGCACGTGAAGTCTTTGTACACTTTCTAAAATCCACACTGTGGTAAGTTCGCACACTAGTACTTTGCGTTCTTTCTAAAATCCTGTATGGTAATTGTAATAATAATTTTAATAAATTCATTTCACCTGATTATGATGTTGCCTTCTACCCTATTGTTACTGGCCATCTCATTGTTAAAAAAAAAAAAAAAAAACTATGATTGGCAGCATTTATTGTGTTTTCTTTTTTTTTATTCAGTTTTCTCTATGTGTTGTTAAAATTTAATGTAGGCCTAACCAGTTGTTTATTTAATACAAACAATTTTTTGACATATCACAACCAGCATATTAATATACAAAGCTTGTTTACATTCATTGCTATTTAATGTTTATGAACCTGGTGGGGGCGTTGTTACCCATGCAAAGAGGCTAGTCCATCATAATAGAGGTTATGTACTGTACATCTAGAGTACATGCCAAACTCCAGTCCTGAAGGGTCACTGTCCTGTAGATTGTAGCTGATTAGCTGGTTCAGGAGCTAAACCCTGCAGGACAGGCCCTCCAGGAACTGAATTTAAACCCCTGAGAACCCCCTGAACCCCTAGAGATTTACAAAAGCAAAAACAGTTTGTTAAAATATTGATAACTAACTAGCTAAATAACTAAATAACAATATCTATCTATCTATCAATCTATCTGTCTATAGGCGCTTTCGTACAGTGTTATGGATCAACTGTTTTTTTTTAATTGATTATGAAACTGAATTGATATATAAGAAACTGAATACAGAAAACAGAATAAACAGAGTTCTAAGCCAAGGCAAAATGTTGATTTCAGATCAGTCATAAATCCAGGATGAAACGTAGCTGCTTTATGTCCAGGGAAGAGGATACAGTGGCATCAGAGCTGGTTAAGCAAGAGATCTGGGAAATAAAAATAAAAAAAATCAGCAGAGTAAAATCACTTTACAATCTCAAGCCAAAGTACCTCTGATCTCTGCAGCTATTACTTGAGATGAGGGGGGAAAAAAGATCGGATAGGGAAAGCTCTGGCTTCGTATGGACGTAGCCTCAGAAAATAAACAATTTGATTAGGAACAATACTAACCTCAGATCAATTAACAAGACTTGTCAATTAAAACATTAAGGTTGCAATTCATGTTTGGGTAGCCTACTGCTAATTTTTACTTAATCTGTATCTGTTAATTAGAACACATGACTGCACACTACAGACACAATGTGATACAGTAATATTGAAAAGAAAATACAGTTTCACTTCAGTTCGTTGAATGTCCCATGTTAATGTGGGCATGAAATATAAGCATAGTAAACTTCCTTAAAACTGCGTGAAATACGTAGGAACGGACACCGCAAAATCAAAATGTTTTTTATCATGATACCAATGTATACAACTGGTGAAACATTTTTTAATCTATGATCTGTGGAATATCGCATTTGACGAATCTGTCGCCATCTAACATCTGCTGGAAATTCAGGTAAACATACTTGCGTGCACGCACGCGTGCATCCCCAGTTGATCCATAACACAGGAGGAACCTTTTCATAGTTCCTAGAACTATTGGCAGAAATTCCCGTTTTTTGACATGTTCACACCGCAGGAACTAGGAACATACAGGTGCATCTCAATAAATTAGAATGTCGTGGAAAAGTTCATTTATTTCAGTAATTCAACTCAAATTGTGAAACTCGTGTATTAAATAAATTCAATGCACAGACTGCAGTAGTTTAAGTCTTTGGTTCTTTTAATTGTGATGATTTTGGCTCACATTTAACAAAAACCCACCAATTCACTATCTCAACAAATTAGAATACTTCATAAGACCAATAAAAAAAACATTTTTAGTGAATTGTTGGCCTTCTGGAAAGTATGTTCATTTACTGTACATGTACTCAATACTTGGTAGGGGCTCCTTTTGCTTTAATTACTGCCTCAATTCTGTGTGTGGTGGCTCTTGATGCCTTGACCCCAGCCTCAGTCCATTCCTTGTGAAGTTCACTCAAATTCTTGAATCGATTTTGCTTGACAATCCTCATAAGGCTGCGGTTCTCTCGGCTGGTTGTGCATCTTTTTCTTCCACACTTTTTCCTTCCACTCAAACTTTCTGTTAACATGCTTGGATACAGCACTCTGTGAACAGCCAGCTTCTTTGGCAATGAATGTTTGTGGCTTACCCTCCTTGTGAAGGGTGTCAATGATTGTCTTCTGGACAACTGTCAGATCAGCAGTCTTCCCCATGATTGTGTAGCCTAGTGAACCAAACTGAGAGACCATTTTGAAGGCTCAGGAAACCTTTGCAGGTGTTTTGAGTTGATTAGCTGATTGGCATGTCACCATATTGTAATTTGTTGAGATAGTGAATTGGTTGGTTTTTGTTACATGTGAGCCAAAATCATCACAATTAAAAGAACCAGAGACTTAAACTACTTCAGTCTGTGTGCATTGAATTTATTTAATACACAAGTTTCACAATTTGAGTTGAATTACTGAAATAAATGAACTTTTCCACAACATTCTAATTTATTGAGATGCACCTGTAGTTATAGGTACTCCGTTTGGGGGAACTAATTTAGATCAGATCCTACTTCAGAATAGGGTCTAAAACAGTTTTATAGAGAACAAGGAGTTACGTCACAATCTTTTCACTCCGCATTGCATTTCGGGAAGGCGCCTCCATATTAGCAGGATACGCTATCCGTTCCCATGGTTACTTTTCATTCTCTATAAGGATAAGTGCTCTAAGTATCTTTTGTTTTGTTTTTGCCTTTAAGTTAAACAATCATTCATTATTCATTGTATTGTTTGCAGGGAAGAGAAGCTATTTTATCGCACTGCATGATAATTTGTTTTTTTTTCTCTTAGGTTTTGTAGAATTTTGTTTACAATGTTTACCTGATTAGCGTGAAAACAGTGTCGCTGGACGCTCGCTGCTGCTTTAGCCATCATATGGTGGATTATCCAAATAAAAGTGTGTGTTCGACAAGCTGACAGAAGTCGATCCATTTCTTTGTTGGAAATTTTAAGGGGAGACACTGCAGGCAAAACACTGTTTTTTCACGCACCTGTCAAGTTTGAGATTTTGGGCTATTTGGTTTTTCATAAAGTCTTTTTTCAGACTAGTGGAAAGAAAACATCCAAAAAACACTGTTAAGTGTTTCTTTTATAGCACTTTATCTATTTGTGTCAATAGATTTCAATTAAAATACATATTTTTAAAGCCCGTCTTCTCAAAATGAGTTTTTTCTCCTACACTGAGTCATAAATCTCCACTTCAGTAGCACTTACACACACCAAACTTTACATTTTTATTCCTGTCTATATCCTGAAGGTTTTTACAGAGGGATTTGTTCATATATAATTTGCTTGATTATATACAATATTTTATTTGCCCCAAAATTTTGAAAATATAGTGTTTTCTGTCCGTTCTAAGCATTTTCTGAATTATGGAGTGACAAAAATGAGATACCCAAACTTCCCTCTGTAAAAACTTTTTTGACTCTAATATGTCAAAAAAATTAAACAAGAATTTTGAAACTGACATCATCCAGTGTTTAGATTTTTGTACTAGAAATTTATGCAAATTAGCACATATTTCTTTAAATAATGACTAATTTGTATATTTAAACCTAACATTTTAGAAAACTTGTAATACAAAAATGTTTTGCAATTATCAATGTAATTAATCAGCTGAGTAAGTAAGGCGATAACTATTAGTTTTTCCTGCTCATATTATGCTTTATTAGTAAGATGTGTGTACTGTCTCGGTGCATTAAGCGCTCTTTATATGAGAGGAAAATGCTTAACGTGTAAACAAACACGTTGCGTTCACATTTTCACATAAGCATATATCAAATGCTGCCCTAAACTCAATAGTGGAAAGGCAGCGCTATCCTGCAAGTATGGCGGATAAACAAAGCCGTTTCCCAGAACTCAACGCGGCGTTACGTCACATTCTCATTCTTTATAGGAACTATCAGTGTATGCTGATTGGCCAAACGCATACGAAACACCGGCAACCTGGCATTTTTAAAAAGCCATGTAAACATATTTCTCCATGAATATGGAAAACAGCGATAATGGCATTTTGTTGGCTGCAGCGTTGTGTTCTTTTGTCAGCCTCGATGAAAACACTGCAAGTTGTCGTAGGAGATTTATTTAGAATTTCGTGCTCTTTTAATCACGTAAATTGTGCGTTTACATTCCATCTCCATTATTATAAACCCATGATAAACATAAAATATAGCTCTGGACACAGTACCTCTTTTTGTCTTTGTCCTGTAGGGTCCAAGGCTGTGGTGTCAGCGGGTGATGTTAACTCTCTAGCAGTACATACCTTTCCAGTGTGTCCTGCTCATCTCAGGGTTCTCCAGCTGGCTGAGGAGCTGAAATTTGCCCTGGAAGGACAGATATGTGCAGAGGACAAGGAGACCCTGCTGAGACAAATGCCCTCTGCCACGGCTCACGCTCTGCTGCTGTGGATTGACAGGAGATCAGAGATTTCAGTGAGAACTTTTTTTTTTATTATTTTATTTTATTTTATTATTTTATTTTATTTTAAACACTTAGTCCTTGCCAGAGTTACCTTTTGCTATTTACAGAGCATAACTGTCACAGTACAGTTTAAAGATAGTGGTATCTTATTAGTGACATTCTAATGAATGTAATTATTTTTTGCACAACAGTTTGTTCTGGTCTTATTCACCTTATTCCCAAATGCGGAAGTAAGCCTATTGGCGAGACTTCCAGTTCATTATCCGCTATAGAGAAATAACGAGAAGAATAACAATGTGCAGTAAACGGTAAATCTGTTTGCATTACAAACCAGTGTCTTCATTATTAAGATAATACACTAAAATAATTTGGTAAGACACACCAATTTGCAATATCCCGCAACAAAACGAGAGGTTTTGTACAGCTAAAAGTAGCTGGAAGCAAATGAGACTGGAAGCAAGACCCATAAAGTTTACAAATGGCCGTGCCCATTTTTTACGTGAAGAATAAGGTGGATAATTTAATTGGCCGAGCAACATTCTGATAATTAGTATGACACCACTGAGATGCTTTGCTATTTGCATCACTTCACATTTCTTCATGTAAGGTGCTCCAGTCTAGAATATGATGAGTTGTTGTTTTTGCCAGGATCGCTTTGAGTAAGGTTTCTCTCACGAGTGAGTAGAGAATGAAAAAAGCAAAACCACAGTGGAGCTTTAAAGGTGCTGTGTGAAAATGGTTGACTGTATTAAAGCATATATTCAAGCAGATATTTAAGAAACATGCTGAATTCACATACTTGTTTTTCAGAGAAAAAAAAAAAAGATTCTACAGCCAGTTATTCTTTTTTTCTTTCAATTTACCCAATAATATTTTGACACCCCAGGTTGCCAGTTGGTGGAAAACACAGCAGCCATGCTAGCAAAAGAACTGTCTCAGAGATTATATCCTAAAAAGCATCAGCTTCTATCTAAAAAGCTCAGAGGCATATTAAAATGATAAATTATTGTCACCTTTCATTGTCAGTTGTGCATGATCCTCTTGCGTGCCCACAATCTGGCAACCTGTGTGAGCGTTAAGTCTGAGGAGGTGGTATAAGTTTAGAAACAAGAAGAAAAAAATAGTTTGGCAGAGGAAAAAAAGAGTGGAGGAGGAGAGTAAAGGAGGAGAAAAGGGAGGGGGAAAAAAGAAAAAGAAAACAAGGGCAGCTGGCAGGAGTGAAGTCTGATATTACAGACCGCTTCTCCAAACCAGATGCTCAGGAACCTAAACCAAAGGCTAAACTTAGAGTAAAGACAAAGAAGAAGAGAAATAACTCACAGTCTTTACATGAAGGGTGAAAAGAAAGAAAGATGCATTCACTCTCCTCATGTCTGAGCTAGTTATAATGCTATGAGACTTAAGGATCTCATAATGGCCCTGCAAAATGGAATGGGACGTTGATTTTTACAAACATTTTGCATGGCTTAAGAAGGTAAGCATTACTTTTTCTGTTCTCGTATACTGATTTTGTTTTTCTCCATTTGAGAACATGGACAACACTGAGTAAAACGTCACGTCATCTCGGAATTATGTTAATTACAAGATGGCGTGAATGCAGCATTATTCCATTCCACTGTGTCTCATGTTTTTAAATGAAATCTGTGTGATCAGCGCTTCAGATTGTTGTATTAAGCTATGCATAAATACATGATGCTGTTTTGTTCATAATTGTTTATGCAATTTACAAAATTCTATTTGACGCATATACAATATAAGAAAGGAGATTTGTTTAAATATAATTTTGTGTTTGACTGTTAAAACTAAAATTATTTGTTGTTTGTCTTAATAAACTGTGCAGGTTAAAATAAAAAATAAAAAAAAATTATATATACTGCTCTTTGTTTAAAAAAGGTTATTAACATTTTTCAATAATTACCAATACCGAATGATATGGAACATTATATGATGATCATTTTTTTTAGCTATATCACCCAGCCCTGGAGCCTGCAATGTACGCCATCAGCTTTTTTTGTCTTCGAGAGCCATTTGTTTACGTTGCAGCATATGATTATTGTGGAACACTCAACCAACCATTTCAGGAAGTGTGTCCTCCATGTCGTAGATATCTGACACCTGCAGACACACAAGTTGTTCAATTCAGTGCAATTCATGTTTATTGAATTGAATTGAACAACTTGTGTTCAATAACACAAGACACACAAGTTAGTGTTATGTGCTTGGGTGAGAAGCATGCATGTTCAGTTCTTGAGAGAGCTGATGAAGAAGCTCGCATTTGAAGTCAGCATTTGTCTCTGTTTTCTAGAGAGATGTGGTAAAGGTGTCTGTCCCCCTGGCTTTGGACCCTCTATGGCCGAGGCACAGCATATACTCATCTTGTAGGGGCTGCAGGTCGAGTTGCCAGAGGAATTCGAGAGAGGTATGCCTTTCTTGTGGTCCTTTCACCCACTTGAGGATCCTGGAGAGGCATCTCTTGAGTCTTCTGATCCAGCAGATAGCATTTTGCTGGCACTATCCAAACAGGAAGAGATGGATATGGCCGAATAAGGCATGAATGTTTGCAAGTGAGCTTTCCCAGCCTCCCAGCCCTGCGTACAAGGAGCTGCTGGATGTGATTTCCCCATTATGTTTGGGCAGTAAAGCTGTAGCTCCCCTGTGTTTCCCTATGGGTACAGTTTTTAGATGATATGTTTGCTCACCTCAGGTAGTGGCAGGCTAAGGGAACTAGAAATGTTCTCCATGGGCCAGTATTCCCTATAGGTGGTGTCTAGCAGTTGATTCACAAGGAAGGGATGCCATGCTTCGGGCCTGCCTGCAACGTTTTCTTTAGACAAATAAATTGATGATATATGTTCATGCACCCTCTTATACTCTTGGGTGCACCTGCAGTGATGTCATGGATTGTCGATGGCCAATGGAATTGTCAGATTTTGACACATGCTTCAGTTCCCCTTCTCAGTGAACTAAGGTTACACTCGTAACCCAAGACGCTCTTCAAATCTTGTCCTGGATGTCCACTGTAGAGTTTAACTCCAACCTTAATCAAACACAAACTAATCAAAGTTTTCAGGATAACTAGAACATTGCAGCCAGGTTAGATTGATAAGGAATGAAGGTAAATTATGCAGGACTGTGGACCTCCAGGTTCAATATAAAGAACACTTGTGCCACTCTTAGGTACACGAGTTTCAAAGTCGTTGAACTGTTTGTTTGTCTGTTTGTTTTTTTAACACAGTACACAACTGTCATCGCCAGTTCTAGTCAAAACACATTTTATACTACAGCACTTGGATCGGAGATAGGTCTAGAATATATATTGAACCAGCTAAATTGATGCTTAGATCATGTTTTTGATAATTAAAACATATCAATCTTCACCCTATATGAACCAGCACCAATTTGCCTCCAGTTTTGATTTTTTGTCTGCAATCTACATTAACTGTCGGTGAGAATGTGTAAGCTGCATTATATGTAATAATTCTTGATTCTGAGCTCTACAACTTTGCTTCTGCAGACCCACTGCCCAGCTAATGAAGGTCTTTAGAACGGTTTAGCCTTGTTCAGACTGTCAGCCCAAATCCAATTGAAATCCATATTTAGATAGTATGAACGGCAACGAACTACATTAAATCCGATTTGTGCAAATCTGTTTCAAGCTACATTCGCATGTGGTTTGGAATCCTATTCAAATCGCATTCCTGGAAATCCGTTTCAGTCTGACCACTCAGATCGGATTTTGTGTTGCTTTTTCACGTTATCACGTAAAACGTAAACACGTCAGACGTTTTTCTAGAAAACATAATAAATGTCAGAAACAAGCTTGTGTTGTTGCAAACTGTAAGACAAGCAGAAAAAGACAATATACTGCTAGTATACTATACTCACCTCTTTGAGTGTTGAAACCAGCCGAGATGGCAGCATGGAATAGTCACACATTCTAGCTTCCTTCATTTCTGATGCTGCCTCCCACTGGGCAAAGTTACATCCAAAGGACGTCTATTTGATGTCTTTGCACGCGTTGAAAAGACGTCCACTGAGGAGCCAGAATGAAAGTTTTTATGACTTCTTTTTTTTATGTGTTCTGCACGTCTAATATAGACATTCGTGGAACCTCCGTACAAGGTTAACAGCTAGTTCAACTGTGGTCAGTGGACATCATTTCAACATCATTTAAGGTCTCATTTAGACATAATTGATACTGTTTCTGGACCAAATAAACTCTCTCAGGATGCATGAACCTGTTAACCCGCACCTGGATGCCAGCGCACTGAACGCTCTTTGTTTGCACGTATCAATGTTTACGAATAGATTAAATGAAACGGGACAAAATTAATCTTGACAAACTATATATCATTATAAAGGTCTAAGCCTCAAGCATCGATGATAGGTCGCTGTTTTTTTCATGGAAAGCTTATAAGGAATGTATTTGCTAAATTTGTGTAAGCAGTACACATCAAAACATGCATAATCAAAACGCAGTACGTACCAGATTCATCGTAATAACGAGTCACAAACGCATCCACTGTTGTAAATCCCGGTTCAGTTAGAAAGGTAAGGGACCACTGAACAACATCCCACAGAGCACTTTTAGCCCAACGAAACAATAACGTTGTAATATGGATGGTTATTCCTTTGTTTACGTCTCATTTCTCCTGGGAGAGTTATTGTTTCTCCGTTATGGAATAACTTAAAACTGCGTCTTGGTAGTAAAAAGCAACATGGTTTTATAGCATACAGTGTTACAAACAGAATGAGTCCTCTTCAAATCTTGTCCTGGATGTCCACTGTAGAGTTTAACTCCAACCTTAATCAAACACAAACTAATCAAAGTTTTCAGGATAACTAGAACATTGCAGCCAGGTTAGATTGATAAGGAATGAAGGTAAATTATGCAGGACTGTGGACCTCCAGGTTCAATATAAAGAACACTTGTGCCACTCTTAGGTACACGAGTTTCAAAGTCGTTGAACTGTTTGTTTGTCTGTTTGTTTTTTTAACACAGTACACAACTGTCATCGCCAGTTCTAGTCAAAACACATTTTATACTACAGCACTTGGATCGGAGATAGGTCTAGAATATATATTGAACCAGCTAAATTGATGCTTAGATCATGTTTTTGATAATTAAAACATATCAATCTTCACCCTATATGAACCAGCACCAATTTGCCTCCAGTTTTGATTTTTTGTCTGCAATCTACATTAACTGTCGGTGAGAATGTGTAAGCTGCATTATATGTAATAATTCTTGATTCTGAGCTCTACAACTTTGCTTCTGCAGACCCACTGCCCAGCTAATGAAGGTCTTTAGAACGGTTTAGCCTTGTTCAGACTGTCAGCCCAAATCCAATTGAAATCCATATTTAGATAGTATGAACGGCAACGAACTACATTAAATCCGATTTGTGCAAATCTGTTTCAAGCTACATTCGCATGTGGTTTGGAATCCTATTCAAATCGCATTCCTGGAAATCCGTTTCAGTCTGACCACTCAGATCGGATTTTGTGTTGCTTTTTCACGTTATCACGTAAAACGTAAACACGTCAGACGTTTTTCTAGAAAACATAATAAATGTCAGAAACAAGCTTGTGTTGTTGCAAACTGTAAGACAAGCAGAAAAAGACAATATACTGCTAGTATACTATACTCACCTCTTTGAGTGTTGAAACCAGCCGAGATGGCAGCATGGAATAGTCACACATTCTAGCTTCCTTCATTTCTGATGCTGCCTCCCACTGGGCAAAGTTACATCCAAAGGACGTCTATTTGATGTCTTTGCACGCGTTGAAAAGACGTCCACTGAGGAGCCAGAATGAAAGTTTTTATGACTTCTTTTTTTTATGTGTTCTGCACGTCTAATATAGACATTCGTGGAACCTCCGTACAAGGTTAACAGCTAGTTCAACTGTGGTCAGTGGACATCATTTCAACATCATTTAAGGTCTCATTTAGACATAATTGATACTGTTTCTGGACCAAATAAACTCTCTCAGGATGCATGAACCTGTTAACCCGCACCTGGATGCCAGCGCACTGAACGCTCTTTGTTTGCACGTATCAATGTTTACGAATAGATTAAATGAAACGGGACAAAATTAATCTTGACAAACTATATATCATTATAAAGGTCTAAGCCTCAAGCATCGATGATAGGTCGCTGTTTTTTTCATGGAAAGCTTATAAGGAATGTATTTGCTAAATTTGTGTAAGCAGTACACATCAAAACATGCATAATAAACACGCAGTACGTACCAGATTCATCGTAATAACGAGTCACAAATGCATACACTGCTGTAAATCCTGGTTTAGTTAGAAAGGCAAGGGTTCACTGAACAACATCCCATAGAGCACCTTTAGTCCAACTAAACAATAACGTTGTAATATGGATGGTTATTCCTTTGTTTACGTCTCATTTCTCCTGGGAGAGTTATTGTTTCTCCGTTATGGAATAACTTAAAACTGCGTCTTGGTAGTAAAAAGCAACATGGTTTTATAGCATACAGTGTTACAAACAGAATGAGTCCATCCACTAAAAAAAAAGTCAAAGATACTCGGAATATTGTTTATTTGAATTCTGGCACTCTCTCGTGACAGCTCGTGATGCACGCTGTGACGCACCTGTCATCTGATGGGGGTGTAGCGATCGGCTTTTTGCACAAATAATTTTTATATATTTTTTTTCTATTCAACATGTTTCAAATTATTCTTATTGTATTTTTCTAGTGTTCAAATAAATCACTTATACGATGTCTAAGATTCTGTCTATTATTTTATAATTGAAAAACTATGCAGTGGTATGTATAATGACTAAAATTATTTTGTAGAACCCTTCAATACATTTGGTGGCTATTTTTTCCTCAAACGGGGAGGGGGTACTAGAAATAGTTTCAGAAAAAATGGTTGCAGGAATCACATTTTTCATGGTATCTTCTTAAAATTTTAAATATAAACTCATGAGACATGTGCCTTTGAACCCATTACTTTTCTGGATTGCTCCAGGACTTATTTCATGTATTTGTATATAAAAAAAATAAAAAAAAACATTCAGTGTGGTATAATTTTTTTCAAGGCACTTCAGTGTCTACAACTTTTTACACTGTTGTCAGGAACTGTTACCATTTTACGTTAGATAGGTCATTTTCAGCTGTGAGTCCCAAAATGGGGGGTGCAGGTTAACAGGTTAAATTAAAACTCGTGCTATTTCAATGTAATTTCCATTTGTTAATGCAAATAAACTCACAGACACTGCGTTTGTCCAAAAATTACGAAAATAAAAGAGTCTTCAATGAAACAGCGTTGAAGTTTATGAGATAATTAAATGATCAAATAACTGATAATTGAGAATTTGGTAAAATCAACTGCAAATCAAAGACATTCAATCTCTCAAAATCTCAGCAGAGGAGGATCAAACAACTTCATTCATTACTAACCAGACTGACTTTATTTCTGTCAGACATCTATAGCTTTTATTGATAATTACCAGAGGTTTAAATGTTGATATTTAAGTCACCATTGTGCTGGACAGTGTTTACTTTAGTTGGGATCTTGGTCCTCGTACTTCTTGTGTTAGATTTTCTTTAATTGCGGTAACCGAGTGTTTGTAAAATATAATTGTTGTGGCAGAGGAAAGCCAAAATCAAGTGTTATCATCTTGTTAATGATGACAAAATCATGCTGTGTTCATCTAATGCTGCATTTTAATTTTGTGTTTATATTTATGGATAAAACGCATGTGCACAAAATATTTTGAGCAAGTGCATCATGTGGTCACACACAGACAAGAAGATTTTGTATATGAATCACAACAACAATGACAATCAAAACAAAAAAGCTTGGGAATTAAGGATGAGTGTGCACTATGAAGCCACCCATCATGCATTGCAGCATGAAGCTTTTTTGCTTGATTTGATTTCCACCATTGCTGTGATTCATGTGCAAAATCTTGATGTCTGTGTGTGACCATGCACATGCATTTTGTCCACCTTCAGAATAAGTGATAATTTCAATGCTCGTGGTGCCTGAACTGCAGCTTCACAAGGTTGTTGGCTATAAATGCCAAATATAAAACAAAACTAAAATCACAACATCACATGCTCATTTTGTGATGATTTCGCCATAATCAACAAGGAGCTGATAACACCTGATTTCACTTTATTTTGGCCTTCTTTGCCACAACAATTGTATTTCACAAACACACAGTTACAGCAGCCAAAGAAAACCTAACACAAGAAGTAGGAGGACCAAGATCCCAACTAAAGCAAACACTGTCCACCACAATGGTGACTTCAAATGAAACATAAATATCAACATCTAAACCTCTGTTAATTCTCAATAAGAGCTTCTGTGGATGTCTGACAGAAATAAAGTCAGTCTGGGGTGCATTTCCCAAAAGCATCGTTAGCCAACTATGGTCGCAAATTCCGTCATTACCAACATAGTTCAACGATTCTGTGTTTCCCGAAACCATAGTTCAAATTAACATTCGCAAACAGCGTCGAGTCCTGTCTGCCAAGATAGTAACTCGAATAGGCTACTGGAATGTAAGAACTGTATTCCAGTTTTCCAAGCTGCAGCAAGTTATCAAAGAGATGGAGGCCTATAACATTAACATATTAGGCCTCAGTGAAGTTCGTTGGACCAGTTTTGGCAAACTGTCCTCGGGGAACAAGATTGTCTTGTTCTCTGGACGCCAAGACAACATACATCGTGATGGTGTTGCCCTCATGCTGGATCACCAGGCATATGGGGCACTAGCAGAGTGGACCCCAGTCAACGAGCGTCTTCTGACGGCAAGGTTCGCCACCTCACATGCCAAGGTAACCATTGTCCAATGCTATGCTCCGCATAATGACTATGACGACACAGAGAAGGAAATCGTCTACCAGCAATTGCAAGACCTACTGAATAAAGTGCCACGTCATGATATTCTATTGGTCATGGGAGACCTCAACGCACAGGTTGGTGAAGATCGATCTGGCTTTGAAGAGGTTCTGGGCCCATATGGGTATGGCAAGCGTACAGACAACGGTGATCGTTGGTGCAGTTCTGTGCCATGAACAACATGAAGGTCGGTTCGACATTATTCAAACATAAAGCCATACACAAGATAACGTGGACATCTAATGACCACAAAACCCAGACTCAGATTGACCACAATGCTACACATTGCAACACCATGCTTGCAAGACGTCCGTGTCCACCGCGGCGCCGATATCTGCAGTGACCATCATTTGGCCATAGCAACGTTCAAAGTCAAGCTGAAGCAGAAAAAGAAGAAAGACTCCAAGCCCCAGCGGTACGACACAATCAAGCTAAATTATGCAGTAACAGGTGCCCAGTTTCAGTTGTTCCTAAACAACAGATTCTCAGCACTGGCTGATCCGGTGCCGGGATCGTTGGATTGGTGGGACCAGCTAAAAGATGCCATGTCAGCTGCCGGGGAAGAGATCCTTGGCACAAGAAGTCTCTCAAAGAGACCTGGATCAGTGACCGGACCTGGGAGCTGATAGCAGAGAGGAAAGCGATACATCAGAGAATGTTTAGTCCATCTAATGGCGAGGATGCCTACCAGGAATACATCAAGATGGACATGGCAGTAAAAAGCAGTGCACAGAGGGACAAGCTAGAGTGGCTGGACAGACAAGCTGAGGAAGCCCAAGACGCAGCTAGTCGTAATGACATGCGCACGGTCTACCAGATCGCCAAGTAGATCTGCAGCACGTTGAAAACAGGGTCAGGACCAGTGAAAGCAAAGGATGGCACACCACTCTCCAGAGGTGAGGACAAGTTGGCAAGGTGGGCTGAACACTTCAAAGAGGTCCTCAATAGACCGGAAACCAGCATGCCCTGTCACTGTGGAAGACCCACTTCAGGTACTTCCCATCGATACATCTGACTTCTCGGAGGACGAAATCCGCAAGTCCATCTCCACCCTCAATAACAACAAGTCTCAGGGCACGACGGCATAACAGCCGAGATGCTGAAGGCTGGCGGCGAGAGTGTGATCACCTGGATGTGCAGTCTGTGTGGCGTCGTACCAGAGGATTGGAAGAATGGTGAGGTGGTGTGCATTCCGAAGAAAGGCAGCCTGGCGGAGTGTGATAACTGGAGGGGGGTCACTCTGCTCTCAATTCCTGGACAAGTCTACTGCAGGGTCATCCTCAATAGAATATGAGGCAATGTAGACTCTGAGCTGTGTGAAGTACAGGCAGGCTTCCAGCCAAAACGCTCTTGCACGGAACAAATCTTCATGCTGCGGAGAATTGTTGAGACGTGTGGAGAACTCCAGGCACCTCTTGCAGTCAGCTTCATCGACTTCTCCAAAGCATTCGACAGCGTGCACAGGCAATCACTCTGGAAGATTCTGCTTGCCTACGGCATCCCATCAAAAGTCGTAGGGGCCATTGAGCAGATCTACAACACCTCCAAATGCAGAGTGAGGACTGAAGATGGATATAGTGACTGGTTTGAGGTGGTGACTGGTGTAAAGCAAGGATGTATCCTGTCCTGTGTTTAGAAGCACAGTTTCTTGTTAGTAAGACATATGGACTTAAATAAATTATGCTTTTGGGCACAATAAGCAAGCTAACATGTAGTACAATCTATATATTCCATTTAATTTAAATACATATACATTTTAATCAATACATTTTAGCGCGTCCTCAATAAGCGCCATTTTTGAAGAATGCGCATGTGCATAAATGCCTAAGGGAACCCCGGAGTGTGACGTAAGAGGAAACCCGTGATGAATCAAACATCAAATAAAGCAAAATGACAGGAAACAAAACATTTAATTAGTCATCAGGTGCCATGTTCAATACAGCAGCATCTCAGAGATCTCGAATCAATTAACTGGCAGAAGTTATTACTCCACCACATGCGTGTGACGTCATTGACAACAGCCCTAAATTGTTGAACTAGTGTGGTTCAAACGACAGATATGCGACCATGTTCGGGAAACAGTCGTGACTGGCTAGTTAGTTTCCACAACAATGCATCGTACTATGGTGGTTAATTAGTGAATTACGCTGTTGTACGGGACGCATCCCTGGTTAGTAATTAGTGAAGCTGGTGATGCTGTTTGTGGAGTTGTTTAATCATCCTCTGCTGAGATTTAATGTGTTTGATGCAGTTGATTTTACCAAATGCTCAATCAACAGTTATTTGAATATTTAATTATATCATAAACTTCAACACTGTTTCAGTGAAGATTATTTTATTTTCATAATTTTTGGACAAACAGTGTCTGTGAGTTGCTTTGCAATTACAAATGGAAATTACATTGAAATAACACAGGTTTTTAATTTAATGCATCCTTTAGTGAGTGTAGCAGCGCAGGCAAGGCGCTGCTTTTAGAGAGTGTTTATTTGGTCCAGAAACAGTATAAATTATGTCTAAATGAGACCTTAAATGATGTTGAAATGATGTCAACTGACCACAGTTTATTACTGCTGCTTCGTCTTTATTCCCACAAAATGCAAACACACATTGTATTTAAGAACATTTGTATATGCCTGTGAACATCCGTACAACATTTAATTAAACATCAAAACAACCATTATTGTTCTTTGAAGCTTTCTCTGACATAATACAGACCATTATGCACTGTTTTACATTGTTTTATAGAGCAGATATTCAGATGCAAATCTTGTTAGTACATTCAATATTTTACACATCACTGACATATTCCACAGAGTCCTTGAGCTTTACTGCATGGAATTTGTGTACCAAAACCTTATTATCAAAATAAACCTCTTAAGAAATTCCTCTCTAAAACCCTACGTGGGCTGAGTATAGTGAAATTTTGCCAAAGAGCTGTGACATATTGAATAGAAATAGAATCATACAGGGTGTTGAGAAACTATAAACAGCCGGTTATTGTATGCATCTGAAACAGTAGCTGTGGACTTTACGTTTTATGATTTCACTTTCTTCCCTGTTGACTGTAAACATAACTCTAACTACCTGTGAACCACAGGTCAATGTGCAAGGCTCAGGCAATGGTGAGAGCTACCAGGAGCAACTGTCTCGTCTAGAAGAAGATAAAGAGTCTCTTGTGTTACAGGTAAAACATGCGGGCAATTTGTTACAATTACTTGCTTAAAGTGCATCTAAACAGCATGATTTGTTTCAATAAATAGCTTAAACATCAGTGTTGTATGACATCAATGTAATCATGTTTGAATAGGAACAACATTGACAGCATACAAAATGTAACATTAGTTTCATAAATGTCCGTTTTATGAAGACATTTTGCGAAAACCTTTCAGTTATAGCATAAAATAATTGAAGAAAACCATAAAGTGTTCCTAGCCAAACCAGTACAATTGTGGTGTTTCATGGGAACAGACAGGGCTTTACGGATTAGTCCTGTTCTGTCTTGTTGGGTTTTTGACAGTAAGTACATGTGGGTGCTTCCTGATCGACTGGGTTGACGAGAATATTGCTTTAATTTGTTTGAAACTCTGAATAACCCAATGTTTATGTATATGTTCGTGCTGTCAAACTATTAATAATGATTAATCACATCCAAAATAAAAGTTTTTGTTTACATAAGATATGTGTACTGTGTATATTTATTATGTATAGACCTTTATAATGATATATAGTTTGTCAAGATTAATTTTGTCCCGTTTCATTTAATCTATTCGTAAACATTGATACGTGCAAACAAAGAGCGTTCAGTGCGCTGGCATCCAGGTGCGGGTTAACAGGTTCATGCATCCTGAGAGAGTTTATTTGGTCCAGAAACAGTATAAATTATGTCTAAATGAGACCTTAAATGATGTTGAAATGATGTCAACTGACCACAGTTGAACTAGTTTTTAATCTTGTACGGATCGAGGTTCCATGAACGCCTATATTGGATGCGCAGAACACGTCAAAAAAAGACATCATAAAAACTTTCATTCTGGCTCCTCAGTGGATGTCTTTTCAACATGAGCAAAGACATCAAAAAGAAGTTAATTGGACGTAACTTTGAAATCCATAATAATAATAATAATAATAATAATAATAATAATCCAGTGCGACGGCAACATGTTGTCATGTCGTAAAACAGTATCTGTATTGCAAACTGTATTGCTGTTATTGTTGTTTTTTATATATTTATATTCTTATATTTTATATTATATATAAATATATTTAATATATAAACAACATATTTTTCTTAAATATATACATGCATGTGTTTGTATTTATATATACATAATACATATACACAGTATACACATATGTTATGTAAAAAAAAACGTTTATTTTAGGTGTGATTAATCACGATTAATTGTTTGACAGCACTAGTATTTGTGTATTCAGTCTAATTCAGAATAGAATAATGAGTGTGATTAGACTGTGAGTAATTTATACTTTACTCTCAGACCTGGGAGCAACTTTAGAAGGACAATGGACAAAGATGATGTACCTCAAATGAACAAACGTAATTTAAACCTGTTTCTCAGGTGAGTGTGTTGACAGATCAGGTGAAGGCTCAGGGAGAGAAGATCAGAGACCTGGAGAATTCTCTTGTGGAATATCAGCACAAGCTCAACTCCACTGAGGAGATGCTTCAACAGGTATTGGTAATACTTATTAACATTATATATATATATATATTTTTTTTTTTTTTTTTTTTTTTGTTCATATTTGTATTAGAATTTATTTCAAACACTGAAGTATTATGGTAAATCCATCAAAGTATTTGCCTCTTTGCAAAGTATGCATTAGACTGTGTCAGATTCAAAAAGCAACCATTGCTGATATGTGTTGCGCAAACTGTAAACGGCACTAAAATATTAACATTTACATCATTAGTCATCTGCTGTTTATCCAGTGTACATTACTTTACACTGACTGGGAAGGCCAGGATTCTTAATAGGCTCAGTGGATGTGTAAATGAGTGATCGTGCATTAACGAGTTTGGGTTTCTGAAGGCAGTAGGTTTCTTAGTTTACTTGTTACTTTTTTGACAGTGATCCTATTTTCAGAGACCTGAGCCATATCTTTAGATCTGAATACCATTGAGACTTCACATTGGGCATTTGGGATTCAGAAAATATAAAATTCTGGTTCCTTTAATTTTAGTCTTTAAACAGCTATTATTTTAAAGGAATCTAATAGCTATACTGTAGGGAACCAGCTCACATCAACAGAAAAATCTGCACCTGATGTGCCTGAAAAGCAACTTTGGCATCTGTGTGGAAATGCTTTGATGGGATTCAAGGAGACTGGTCATCACATCACCTTGGCAACTCAAATATTTAAGTAGCGGTTGTATTCCAGAGCCGGCATTGACGAGGGCATTCGAATTGGCTTGGGAATTAGCTGAGAGAAGGCAACCTACATTTCTCTTCTGTAATCAGCCAGACAAGGATGTGTCCAGTTAAAAAATAAAATAAAAAAACAGTGTTGTATGAAAGTAAGTGAGAGAAGCAAAGTGGAGAGAAACATTAGGATAAAACCTTTCAAGGCATGGTAAGTAAGACACCTGTACTTATCCATACCATTTTCAAGGACAAAATTGACATTCCGCTGCTTGCAAATCTCATTTTCCTCATAAGCTAATTGCATATTTCTGTTTAACTCGCCTTTGCTTTGAAAGCTCTTTGGCTGATTAAATCTCCAGTCTTCAGATGGGAAGCTTTTCAGGGCATGTGCCTGTGGTCATTGAGGTTTTGGCCTTCAAAGGCAAATACTATTCCAGTGACATGGGCCTAATATTTTCCATATGCTGTCTTTGAAAGACTCAGAGCTCACGTAAAACTCCTCAGCACAAGCTACTGACATTTTGAAATGGTTTTTTGGGCTTCTGTACTGTGAAATAGATTCCTGTTCAGTGTCTGAGTTTAACCATCAAGATCAAAGAAGGCAAGGCGCTGCTTTTATGTTTTACACCAAGGGTTCTCAACCACTTATTCAGTTGATTTGCATTGAAACAAATCAGTCAGTCTATTGGGCTGTAGCTGCTGGTGGCATGTTTAAAACAAGCATTCAGGTGATCTTTACTTAGTGTTGATGTGTATTTGGATTTGATTGTCTTCACATGGGAAAATACTGTTTCACACAGGTATGTTGTGCCAAACAAACTTAAGTATACACTTTCTGATGTTTAAATATTTGCTATCATCCAAATTCCAAAAATATTTATTTAGTTTTATTTATTTATTTTAGCTTTGATTCTGTGTGGGTGTTTTAACACCCATTCTGTTTACTATACTCGAATGTAATGCACTTTTCCCACCACGATCAGAACTCTCAAGCTCTGTCTCATGCTCTCTCTCATGTGTCAGTCCCTGTGAGAGAAGTGGGTAAATATAGCCCTCATAACCTGTGTATATTTAGCCATTGTGGGACAGCAAAGTACAGAGATTTTGAACGGACTTTGTGCCTCCTTAAGAGTACAGTTGCTTAGTTTCCTTCATTTGTGTGCATGTGCGTGTGTTTACATTTATGTGTGGACTCTCATAGGAGCTTCTGAAAAGGAGTTCTCTAGAGTCACAGAAGCTAGGGTTGATGGAGGAAGTGTCCTGTCTAAAACTGAAGCTGGAGAACATGGAAGAGAAACACATCAAGAGTGCTGAGAGACAACATAAAGCTGAGGTAAAACTCTTATAAAATCTAAGATAAAACTCAACAGATTCTGATTGCACCCAAAGTGGATTAAGAGATGCAGATTGAAGAACATAGTCTGGATACAATGTGGTCTTATACCCCCTTGAAGCTAACTTATTTAGGCAACAACCAGTGGGTATGTATTGCACAGATCCACTTTTACCACAGATCTGGATCAGGGTGGCACTGATATGTACTCAAAATTGCTGAAGTGAAATGATGTAACCTATGTTCACATGCAAGAAAAAAAAAACTGTTAAGGGACCAGGTGGGCTCAGTTTTTTTTACCAATAATCTCAAAAGCGCCAAATATCAGTAAATGTATCAGTCTTGTAAACAAAGTATTGTCTCTTAAAGTCTTGTAAAGTCTGTTATGTATTTTCAAAAAAAAAAAAAAGCTGCTGTTTTGACTTGAGTCAAATAATTTGTGTCTTTTAATTTACAGTGTTCTATTTTCATATAATTACTATGTTCAGAGTATCTACTGCGGGACAGAACTGGTTGATCTAAAATATACCTTTCCTCTGACATTATGATGTGCTAGCATAAGCTGTGTGTGTGTTGTGTGGCTGTGTACCTTTCATTTAACCATTATGGGCCTCATGCAATACAAGCAGAACAAATTTCTGTGTAATGGTCTTGAGCAGTCAAGTCTAAATGACAAACAGCCAGAGTGTTTTTAGCAGAGATAGAGTGTTAAGAATGACCTCAGCGTGATGTCTGACAACTGCTGGGCTTCACATAGTTAAAGAATGGCACCAATCCACCCATGAGCATTCCAGTGGCATGCCTCTCTCTCTCTCTCTCTCTCTCTCTCTTTTTCTATGCTCT